TGAATGAATGGAAACCCAAAATCTCTGTAAATGTTTATGAAAATTAATAAAATATAATTATAGGGGGGAAAAAAAGCAAACCCGATGCTGGCTCGTCTGTCCGGCAGCACTGGCCTCCAGGCCTGCCTTCTGAGGGGCCTCTGGGTAGATTAGAACCGCTGACCTCTCTGTCTGTAACCGAGCACATCACTGTGCCGCCCAGGGACTCTTAGCACATAGTGGGGATCAAGGGATGCAGGAAGGAAAGAGGGAGGAAGAGAGGCTGAGGGAAGGAGGTGAAGCGTGCCCCTCAGTGCAAGCACAGAAGACGGTGCATTGTCAGCAGCCCATGTTTTAAGACATTTTCCAGAGTGAATAAGCTCTTCGACTGGTGGCAGAAAGGGGGTGAGGGAGAATGTGGGGCAGGCATCTGGGGCCCATTAGGGACCCTGGGAGCCAGGGGATCAAGATAAGGGTCAGCCCTGCCCCTGTGACTGGCCAGCGGGCACGGCCACATTCCACGGGCACAGCTGCCCAGCCCAGGAGCAGGGGGCCCTCCTCCCCAGCGCCCACGGCCAGTGTGAGGCCCACATAGTGAGTCCGCGGTCCCTGCCACATAGGTGGGAGATTTAACTGGACGGTAAGGGTCAAAGAAGCCGCTTGCTCCAGTGGGACCACGCCGAGGGGACACTGCTGAGCCCACCCTGCAGCCACTAGCAAACCCAGCCCAGTGACGCACCGAAAGTGATGTCCACAGGGATGTGGCTTCAGAGTCCACACACCAGCGGGTCAGCACCCCTCCGCTGCCCTCCTCCCACCTAGGACTCTGCCATGTCCATGTGGATCCACATCTGTCCGCTGCCCAGCTCCCACCTGCCACCCTGCCCAGAGGCAGTCCTCAGAGCCCAGAAACGTCCACCCAATGGCTAAGGAGGGTCGTGTGTTCACCCTACACAGATGAGAACGTCCAGTGTCCATCACTGGCCTTAGCTCAGCCCCAGGCACACTGCAAGACAACCCTACACACTCCTGTCCCATCGCTATGACCACACCCCCTCAGTCCCATGTGCAAGTCGATTGCCAGGCCTTTCTTCCTGTTCTTTCTTGTCTAGGAGCTCCATTATAACCTGTTCAGTATCAGCAACCAATGGACCAATGTGGCTGTGTATGAGGCTCTGGGAATCAAACCCAGGGGTCCTGCGTGGAAGGGGAGAATTCTGTTCCAAAATAACTACTGTCCCAGGCCCCTGATACACACCACAGACACAACATTCCCCCACAAACACACACATATACCCCACAGATACACATATATAAACACAGACACAGACACACACCACAAACATATGCGTGTATATATGTACACACAGAGACACAACATCCACACACACATTCACACAGAGACACACCACACACACACACACACACACACACACGTGCACATACATAGTTCAGGATCAAGGCGTCCTGACATCACAGCATTATTGGGCTTATTCTGCTTCTCCTTTGAAATTATCTCTGTTACTGTAACTGCTAACTCAAATGTTGTTGTTGTTGTTAGGTGCCATCAAGTTGCCTCTGACTCATAGCGACCCCCAACACCTCTGAATCCTGCTCTACCCTGTGCCAATCTCCGACACACCTACCTCCTACAACCCCCGTCACTGAGTCAATCCATCTCATCGAGGGTCATCTTCTCTTGTGTTGTCCCTCCACCCTCCCAAACATGACATCCCTCTCCAAGGGCTGATCCCACCTTACAACAT